TCCCGTGAAGTGTTTCGTCCTTTAGGACATCATGTTTAAGTTGATGTGACTACATATGTATAAGAACGAGAACCTGAATTTGATTTTGATTTCAATTTGATTTATTTTATGTGTTTTTGGTATATAATATATCCAATTTCATTTATATTCTTTATCTGTTTATTATGATTCCATCCTATTTGTTAATAAATATCCGTCATTGTGACAATAGAATTTGGCTAGAATGGTGAAACTAGACGCACATTTACTTAGGATGACCTCGCGAATAAAACACTTTCTAAACATTTTTGTTTATGCAACTGGCTTTCTCATTTAATTAAAGAAACATTTTTAACATCATTTTATATTATACATCGAGAGAACATGTTTGATAAAATAATTTAATATTCCTAGGGTCACTAATGCGTGCAGATCTGTAGCATCATTAAGGAAGCATAAACGTAATCATTTTAAGAGCTACAGGACAAAACGCGTCCCACGAAAAGCTTTTCCACTTTATCATATATATATATATATATATATATATATATATGTGTGTGTGTGTGTGTGTGTGTGTGTGTGTGTGTGTGTGTGTGTGTGTGTGCAGGTACTGTGTTTTTTAGGCATGTCTGATTGAATAAATTACAAATATTATGTCTCTTATTTTTATCATAATCTTTTCCTATTCACGAATATTTTCCGTATATTACAATTAATTAAGGCAATAACAGTTAAAGTGCCTTTTTGCCTGATTTAATTGCAATATACGGAAATAAATATTCGGAAATATGAAAAGATTATGATAAAAATAGACATACATAATGTTTGTAATTTATTATATATATATATATATATATATATATATATATATATATATATATATATATATATATATACACACACACATACACACACACACATATATATATATATATATATTATTGAAAACGCATCGTTTATTTATTTAACAGTATATTTATTTATATACGGTTTAATAAATAATATATTAATAATTTCTTTTAATATGCCTTAGAGACCACCTTATAGACCACCAAATTAGACTATTTCTCCCCAAAGCAATTAATAAGGATAGTGAACCTATAGCCAAAAATTACATAGGCATTTATTACAAAAAACAGATGCATATTAATTACAAACAAGACGAATCTTCTCTAAGGCATATTATAAAGAAATATACTACTCCAATTGACCCGAATAAAAAAACTCAAATTAATTATCTATTATAAAAAGTTCAAGACAGCCAACCTTATCCTCAAAAATAACAACATACCAGTTAAGTCAAAATTACAAAGAACGAACTTTATCTATGAGTTCAAATTCCCCTTAAGGAACTGTGGTCCTGTTCAAACCGGACTCACAAATAAGTACATCGGTTACACAACCACATGCTTATCCAAACGTTTTATGTTACACCTTTCTGATCACAGCTTTATTAGTACCTATTTAAACACACACACACAAATTTAACAGGCTACATTAGAAACATACCAGTAGAAAACACAAATATATTAACAGCATCCACCTGCAAAAAAAGATTAAAAATGATGGAAGCTTTAATAATAATAAAAAAGGTCAACTCTTAACAATATTAACTACGAACAAAGCCACAATGTGCTAACCGTATTCGAAAATTTAAAACATTCCCACCACACACTAAGACATACACAGAACGCACACTCAATTAAGCTGAAAAATCGAATCATCCTTGATAATGGCTAAAGGTATAGCCAAAAGCACTCGGAAATATAAAACATTTGGACAGTTCAGTTTTTTTCTTTGGACTCTGAACTTGAATTCTGGACGATTGTTTTCGCCTGAATTAAATCTTCTTAGTTCTTTCTTTTTTTATTCCTTATTTTTCCTTGGATATTGCTTTGTTCATTTACAAGCCAAAACACATAAGGTTTTTTAAGACGAGTACAATTACTTATATTTATAAGATTATATATATATATATATATATATATATATATATATATATATATATATATATAGATAGATAGATAGATAGATAGATAGATAGATAGATAAACCTAGTGAGCCAGACAAACCTACCCAGGTTTCACCAAAGCGGATCGTCATGGAAAGCTGGCCAGCTTTCCATGATGATCCGCTTAGGTGAATCCTGGGTAGGTTTGTCTGGCTCACTAGGTTTATTTAGGTCTGCTCTACGGTTGTATCGAGCTCTTTTGTTAGTTGTTTACTCGTATCGGGTTTGTTTTTTCTTTGGGCTTCGAACCTGCATCTGTGCGATTTTTTTCGACAGACTTTCATGTTTCTAGCTCTTTCTTTTTTTAAAACCTTTTTTCCCTCGAGATTGGCAAATCAAAAATTCGAAGGTTTTTCGAAACGAGTATAGTTACCTACATATATATATATATATATATATATATATATATATATATATATATATATATATATATATATATATATATATTAGTAGACAGATTAATGTTTTGCTTCAAATCTATAGGTCTGTAACGTACAAAGATTAAAATCACATAAAATTGCTTCCGGGATTATCATAGGTGCATTTTTTTAAAATCTATCAAATCCTATGTTTTAATCATGGTTTCCTTAAAAAAACATGTATACTTGAATGGATAATTCGGACAGTAATGTGTTGCAATGGTACAGATCCACCATCTCGGCATTTTCGCCCAAATCCAGCAGCAACGATTCGAGGATAACTGGTGGTGAATAAATTGCAAAGAATTGTCACAGACGGCTTTAAATCACGTTACCTGTCTTTTTTATCATTTCCCCACAAGGAAGGCAATAAAGCCTCTATGTTACAAGGGTTTACTGAATATTAGAGAATATGAGGAAAACTAATATTAAGAAGAAAGGACAATAAAATAGCAAGAATTAAGAACACGGACGATAACGATTAACATTGCATTTACATTTTTGAAAATCAATCTTAACTGGAAAGCAAGAATGTGAAAGAGCAACAAGTGCATTAAATGTATTCTTAATGAAATGTTTACCTTTATGTAAACTGACTGCACACATACGGCAGGAGCACCCTGTTATTTCTTTTAATCGGAATCACCACAACCAAGCCAGTAATGCCACTAAAGCACAATAGATTAAAGAATCAGAAACATTAATGATAAGCAGAAAGAGAAAAGAATAATCAGGTGGAGAATAGATAACGATTTTGGCATTGCATTTAAATTTTTGCCGATTAAAGTTGGCTGGAAAACATGGAGCCGGATGGGAGACCCACAAGCGAGAATTGCCAGAGAAAAAAACTGTTAGCATTGAACTTAACTTTAAATTGTCATGAGATCACGACGCTAGTCTAGTATTGCGCTTAAATCCACACAGTCTAGGTACCATAGCGAAGATTTTGAAGAATTATCATGAAAGTATTTATAGAAAATACATAGAGAAGCAACCTTACGTCGGTGAGAAAGTGACTGGAGCTGAGTCAGATATTTGATTATATCTAGGGACCTATAGATTCATGTCTTTTCCAGAGTTATTTCGCTAAGAACCTGTGACAGACTAGATCAAAACTTGAACTCGGCACAGCAATTCCATTTTCCGTGACATGAAACTTTACCCATATATTCACTTGAAACAAACAATTAAGAATAATACAATTATTTAACTATCAATTCCAGTGTATTTCAGTGAGTAGCAAGCCGTAGTCTAGTGTACTAAATGCATATTAATACAAAACCAGTTACATCTTCCATAGATGTTGGCACCATCATGTAGTGTAATGGCTAGCAAACTTGTTTCGCTAGATTAATTAAAACTGAATAGTCACTCCGATCTACCTAGGTACCATAATTTCAAATATGTTTAGTATCTAAGCTGAACTTAGGAAATTAGCATACTTTCAGCCTTGTGCCACACCTAAAATACGCTTAGATAATCGCTATAATCTTCAGAGATGTTCTTGACAGTTCCGAGACAGATGACGTCATAATATGCAAATGACGAAGGTTATCTTAAATTGAAAATAACCTTCTGGAAACCAGATTTCGAAACGGTCACGTTTGTCTTTCCCAACATCACACTTTGCAGAATCAGTGTGGATGGTGCCTCTTAAAAGACAAGTCGTCAAATAAACTACCAAATAATTTTGATAAAAACCAATTGCGGGAAAAAAGCAGAAAGTGTACGCTTCTTTTGACGAAGTGTTTAAAGAACTTCAAGGGAAAAGCCATTGCGTGTGTGCCCATTCCCTACAGTCATTGAGGGTTGCTTTGTCATAATGTGGCTGCGATGTAATGGAAATTGGCGATAACCAAACACGAATTCATGAAGTTGCAAGTAAATCACTCATAAAAAGAAATAAACCAGTTACCTTAAATGTGAAAATAATAACAAAAAAAAAAAAAAAAAAAAAGAAAAAAAAGTCTGTTTTCCCACAATCCCATTTGACTTCCTTTTCTCATTTCGGGGAGATTTTTCGCCATTTTTTTCATTCTTTTTTTTTTTAATTCTTCATTCTTTTTGATTATTTTTCTTTCGTTTATCACACTTTTATTTCTTTTTTCTCTTCATTTTTTTTTCACTATTTTTCTACTCTTTTTTTTTCTTTCTCATTTTTAGTTTAAATTTCGGGTAGTCAGTTTTATTTGGCAATTTTGGATTCTACCTTTCTTAACCGAATTATTAGAAATCTAATTGCTCAATCTTGCGTTTTTTCTTTCTTCATTCGATAATAATATTCTCCTTGTCATTTTCTCGTTATATTTCGCTTTCAATGTTACGATCTATATTTTCCCACGGTTATTTGTCCAGTCTTTTCTTTCTTTCTTTCGTTTTTATGAACCATATTTCTCCAAAATTTATTTCACAATCATTTTGTTTGGTGGCTTTTTTTTTCTTTTGTTTGTTTGTTTGTTTCTTTATTTATTTATTCTACATTTATTTCTCGTCATTTTTCTTTGATTCTTAATATGTTTCTTTCTTTCTTTCTTTCTTTGTTTATTTCTTTCTTTCTTTGTTTATTTCTTTCTTTCTTTGTTTATTTTTAGGATCTATATTTTAGAGGATTTATTCCCACATTTTTTTGTTTATTTCTTTCTTTGTCCATTATTTATATTTCTCCCCCAGTAATTTCTCAATCTCTCTCTCTTTTTTTTAATTTTCTTTTCTTTTTTCTTATTTTTGTTTCTTTCCTTCTTTCTTTCTTTCTTTCTTTCTTTCTTTCTTTCTTTCTTTCCTTCTTTCTTTCTTTCTTTCTTTCTTTCTAATTCTATACTTTTCATTATCCTGATAATCCAACTAATTGATCAACATTTATTTCTCGTTTTCTAATATTTATCTTCTTTTTTCTTTCTTTCCTTCTTTCTTTCTTTCTTTCCTTCTTTCTTTCTTTCTTTCTTTCTTTCTTTTCTCCTACCGCCCTTTCTTTATTTCGTTCTTTCATCTTTCCTTCCATTCTTCCTTCTCTGATACAATGTACTTTCTACATTTATTGTTCACTTTTGTTTTTACATTTCATTCATTCTGTCTTTCTCTTATTCCAATTGTCAATCCCATAATTTCCATTATCCCCTTCTTTCATTTTCTCTCTTGTTTCTTCTTTTGTCATTCCTCTTCCGTTTTTCTACAGTGAATATATTTTTCTTCCTTTCAACATTAAATCTTTGCTTTTCCTTTCTTCGGCTTCAAAGATTTAAAAAAAAAATTATTTGGAATTGCCATCCTCGAACCGCTTTCTGGTAGAATTCTGTTTCTGATTTTATAGCCTTTTTTTTCATTAATTCTTTCCAATATTTCTTGAGCCGAGTTTAAGCTTTCACAGGACCAGTAAAATTATCCAACTAGTGAGGATCGCACTTTAGGAGAAAATGGTCTACGCGACTAGATTGTTAACCATCACTCTACCGCAGGTGTTTCTCTCGAGATATCTATTAAGCTTAATTTAATCTAGCATAAGACTTCAGTGCAAGACATTTAAAAAGGATCGATCTCAGTACACGAGACATGGCACGAGATACGAGTTTCCTTTACCCATCTCATTTCAGCGAACGGTCATATATCGTAAATACACCGATATGCCAGAAGTGATGCGACAGTTGTATGTAAAAGTAGTATATATTGTCTTCATGGAAATAGGATTATATTACCTGCACAATACAATTTGGTGAATTATCTAAAAAAAAGCTAGGCTATACATAATTTGAACATCGTATGATAGTGTGTAACAGAAGGATAGCAAGATATACTTTTTAAGTAGTGCGGGGATTTGACATCACTCAATACTGTGTTTATAGGTTGTAGCACTTCCATCACTCTCTCTCTCTCACACACTCTCTTTCTCTCTTTCCATGGGAAGCCTTCTAACTAACAACAACAACGACAATGTTCCCTAAAGACTGAGTCCATTTTTTTTTGTCTATTTCTCATCTCGTTGAAAAAAGACATAGGCGTGTACGAAAATTTCGAGGTTAAAATTTTTCTTTTCGTGTTTCAATTTATTCAAAAGGCCAATTAATATATATATATATATATATATATATATATATATATATATATATATATATATATATATATATATATATATATACCCAAGTATACGATTGGTGTATACGGAATAAATTCCAATAGCCAAAAAATACTATTCTTAAAAGAGTGTTCATTGCAGATTAGAGCATATACAATTATTTATTCCAAATTATAACATAAATATGTTATAAAATCACTATAAAAATAGCCATTTGTTTCAACACTTCTGGTGCCATATCAAGTGATGGTATTGAATGTAGAATGCACATTCTACATTCAATACTATCACTTTGATAAGACACTAGAAGTGTTGAAATAAAATGACTATTTTTATAGTGATTTTATGCCATATTTATGTTATAATTCAGTAAATAATTATATATATATATATATATATATATATATATATATATATATATATATATATATATATATATAAACAAGTATATATTTTAATACCATACATATAGTAGTAGTCATATATACAAACTATTTAGAAATACAGACGTATGCACACACACACACACACACACACACATATATATATATATATATATATATATATATATATATATATATATATATATATATATATATATATCGTATCTACTGCTATTTCATTTTAACATCATTCATTTTACTCTTCTGTTCACACTCTCATTTGTTCAATTACTAATGCATTTTATGGTCAAGAAGCGTAAATCATTCAGGCTAAAAGAGTCTCGGCTCATCTATATGCTAATCTGATCCTTCCCAAAAATATATATATATATATATATATATATATATATATATATATATATATATATATATATATATATGGATTGGAATCAAATATGGATTAGAATTATCGAATAAGAAAGAAATAGTAGATGTTTATAAATTCATCGTATGTCGCTTATATTTAAGCTTCATGCGTACATATCATATGTAGGAGAATAAAAAATGCTGGTGTTATTAATTTTAGGTTGTTTTATATTGATTAAACATACCTCACGTTTACTTGTCCTGTCAAGCAGCATTCGTGTGTATAATTAATGTTTATGTGGAACGTCATTCTTGATTCTTGCTTCTCTATGTGGTATTCAGTTGATAATGTGAATGATCATGTTTGCAGCTGAGCGTATAGTAGGCATTTTCAGCTATGTCTCGTGATTGCCCGTGTTTTGATTGAATGATGATTTTGTGAACGTGAAAGAATTTAAGTTATACTGCTTGTGCTTTTAGGTTGACAGATGATAGATTCTTTACGCGTGGATTTTGAAGAAGTTGGTGATATAATAAAATATAGTGAACGTGTGTTTATAAAGGGCAAAATATTTATCAGAATTCACCTTAAGTATTTCCTACGTAGTAAATTATGCTCTTTTTTAACAAACATTATTAAGCAATATATATATATATATTATTATAAATATATATATATATATATATATATATATATATATATGTCATCTTAACGTGTGCTATATTTATGGGATAATTTGCTCAATATCAGAGATACTGCGTGTGTAAATATAAAAGTGAATATTGAAGTCAACGCTTAGAGGCGACAGTCTGTTTCATGCTGGACGCTATCGTCCTGCCTGACGATAGCGTCCAGCATGAAACAGACAGTCGCCTCTAAGTTTTACTTCAATGTTCAACTTATATATATATATATATATATATATATATATATATATATATATATATATGGATATAGATATGGATATAGATATGGATATAGATATATATATATTTATATATATATATATATGTCTGTGTGTGTGTATGTAATTTTTATATATATTATTTATATATTATATATACGCGGTACTTATTGGAAATCGCTCAATATCAGTGATAGAGCTAACATACTTAGTTATATTGATGTGAGTTTGTGAACCTGGGTTTTACGCATATCCGGGCTCTGTGAACAATTCCTCATATCCGGAAGGAAGTCTGGTTTTCAGTGATTCTACTAAAATGTGATATGACGTTGTGTCTCGGTAAATGGATTGAACGCAAGCATTAAACAGTAAATCTTATCTAGATCTATCAGCTAAACTTATGTTACCATTTATTGAATTATATTCGAGGATTGATTATTAGCGGACTCGATATTAACAACATACAACCAATGACACTGGAGGTAGTGAAGGAAAGCGAGAATAAAGAACCAAACATAAATTTCTAGAAGACAGAATGCTAGGTTGTTAGCAAAGGGATGAACCCAAAATGCAAATTACAAATCAGATATACCAAAATCAATCAAGAAGAAAAATTTAAATATCAGGGAAATGTTTTAACAGAGGACGGAAAGTGAAACATTGAAATTGGAGGGCGTATTGGGATCGTCAATGATGCCTTCCGAAAGCTAAGCAGAGTATTACGAAACAGAAAAAAAAATCGTTTTAAAATGTTCCTATTTTTCCCCAAATCCCATTATGAGTTACGACAAATCACTCTATCAAAAAGTCCGATCCGTAATCTATCTAACCTGAAACCATGGTTTTAATTAAGAAATTATCATATTTAGAGAGCGAAAGTGCAGTCGCTCTACCTTGTTGAAGAATTATTGATACCGTAACTACTATTTTGCGCAGCAGATGTGGAAGAGATCATTTTTTATGCAAGTAACACGGAAACAAATCTAGAAAAGCTCCTACAGGGGGGAGTGAAGGAAAAGCCAGATGAATGGACTAAACATATATTTCTAAAAGACAGAATGCAAGGTCGTTAGCAAAAGGATGAACCCAAAATGCAAATTACAAATCGGAAAAAACAAAATCAAACAATTACAACAATTTAAATACTTGGAAAGTGTTTTAACAATGGACAGAAAGTGCGACATTCCAAAAGCGAAACAGAGGATTAAGAAATAAGAACGTGACAAAAAACAAAGAAATGTGTAGTGAAATCTTAGCTAATATCAGCCGTTTTATATGGCATTGAATGCTAGACAATCTCTTCATTGATGAAGTAGGGACTTGAGGCAACAGAAATTTGGTTCTACAGAAGGATGCTGAGGACACCATGGATCGAACATGTGAGCATCGACAGCGAGTTAGAGAAAATGGAAACCTCTCAGTAGAAACAAGTCCGTTTTAGCAGATACACATATACCTGTATATCATATTTGGCATTATTTACATTATTCAGACTATTGTATCATCTTTGACGCCATATTTATTACAACGTTTCGGTTGTTGTAACATCCGGTCTTCTTCAGGTGGTTGGAATGTCAAGCTGAAAAAAATTGCAATAGGGGCACCGGTAAAAATGGTTGCTGAAGACATTAGGTTTACAATACCCAGAAATTTATACACAGGTGTCCTCAACGACAAATCTCACAGTGGATAAAGCCGTTGGTTAAATCCAGTGACAGTGCCCAAAGAGTATGAGTTCAATACCCGGTTAAGGCAGTGGAGATCTTTCAGAGGGAAATTAACAGGAGATAACGGTTAACTGGCATCCTTTAAACATGGCACGTGGAACTAGAAAAGTCTACCCCAGTGAGCGAAATAATAGGTTCAGTTCGACAGTCCAACAACCTGAAGAAGTCCGTAGCGTACAACGAATAATATAAATAATGTAAATAGTGTACATAATACCTCATCTCAGAAATATAGACAGATACTGAAGGGCCGAAACGTTGTAATAAATATAGCGACAAAGATGAGGACAATAGTCCGAATAATGTAAATAATGTACATGATACCTCCTCTCAGAAATATAGACATATACTGAAAGGCTGGAA